ATCCTAAAAAGATTACATTCTGAGGTCCTGAGGGTTAGGTATCTCACTTATTTTCTGTGGTGAAAGACATAATTCAACCCACAGTAAATCCCTAATATACTGAAAGATTCTTGAAATACTGTGTTGATGAGAACACAGTATGATTTCATGTTGTTTCCTATCCCATCAGAGGAGGAAGGAAAACAAGGTTGGAAATAATTGGGCATGTTTCACATTCAAAAAATGGTTGTTGTTGTTGTTGTTGTTGTTATTATTATTGTAATAGGGATTGAACCCAGAGGGACTTAACCACTGAACCATATCCCTAGCCCTTTTTTTATATTTGATTTAGAGACAGGGTCTTGCTGAGTTGCTTAGGCTCTTGATAAATTGCTGAAGCTGGCTTTGAACTCAGGATCCTCCCGCATCAGCCTCCTGAGCCGCTAAGATTACAGGCATGAGTCACCATGCCTGGCCGAAAGAATGGTAATTTTATTCCAAATTTTGTTTTGTCTCTTCACCACTTAATTAATATGTGGATACATAAGATTATGTCATTCAGTCACAAGTTTTGAAAGTTCATCATTATTTAATTTTTGGGAAGGTGATACTGGAGATCCAACCCAGGACCTCACAATTCTAAGTATGCATACTGCACTCTACCACTGAGCTACACCCTGCAAGACCTTGATTTTTTACAACAATTTTTTTAAGTAAGAGGAAGAAAGGAAGAAACCATGTGAATTGTAAGAAACCATGTGAATTGTCTGTAATATGCTAGTTGGGCTACAGAATCTACAAACATCAAAAAGTTGAGGGGTTAAAAGCTAGAGAGTTTGAGTTTGTATCTTATTCTTATTACATATAATAAGAATAAGATACAAACTTGGTTGTTTGATATTCAGAGATCCCCAGATGGTTAAGTAGGGTTCATTCCCACTTTACTCCCTTAAGGATCCAGGTTAATCAAAATTCCACTCTTTTACCTCTTCACAAAAGAATCATGAATCATGTAGTTCCTCATTAGCAGTGTAGAAAAAGAGATTGTAAAGAATCCTGCTCCAGCTTTTATATGTCTCATTTCAGAAGGGACAGATTTATTTTAACATTTTTTGGTCAAATAAAGTCATAAATCTATGTCGAACTTGAGGGAGGATGGAAAGTGCAATTCTTCCTTGTTTCCAGAAAAGGTTGAAGGTAAATATTGCTGTAAGCCCCAAGATTATATACTGTTTTAGTCAGCTTTGCATCACTATGATGAAAAGACCTGACAAGAACAATTTAGAGAAGGAAAAGTTTACTTTGGCTCATTGTTTCAGAGCTTCATTGTATGGTTGGCCAACTCTATGGCTTTGGGACTGAGGAGACACAAAATATCATGATAGAAGGATGTGGCAGAAGAAATCAGCTCAGTATATGACAACCAGGAAGGAGAGAGAGAGAGAGAGAGAGCGCTCTGCTCACCAGAGACTAAATATGGACCATAAAGGCACTTCCCTACTGACCTACTTACCCGAAGCTCAATTTACCTGCCTATAGTTGTCACCCAATAATCCAATTGGATTAATCCACTAATTAGATTATAGCTCTCATAATCTGTTCATTTTACCTCTGAACATTCTTGCATTGTCTTATACATAAGATTCTGGGTGACACCATATATATAAACTATAAAATCTACCATACCATGACAACCAAAATTATATTTCTATATCATATATACATATATATGAACACACATATAAATGTGGTGTATATAGACACAGACACACACATATATATCCTTTAAAATGTAAATTAAATACTATCAATAGTCCAATTTATTGGTAATTCAAATATATTCCTTAGAGAACAAATTTTAATGTAAGAATCTGTGCCCAACTCTGGTTATTTCAGGCATGTCAACTCACTGACTTTATAACTAAACATACTTGAATCTCATGTTAACTTGGCCTTAAGAGCCAAGATAATCTCAGAGATAAGGTCCTGAAATAAGTGTAATTCTGCATTTGATATGATGCTCTTTCTGCTTCGTCTTTGCACTCTAGGAATGGTGACTGGATTTTTGTAGTGTAATGAAGAATACTATTTAATATAAAGAGTTATAAAGAACATACCTTAAAACATACTTGTACATACTCACAAAATTTCTTGACTGAAGTCACCACCTTCTAAAACGCTTTCCTTAAGATTCTAATAAGTTATTTGTGTGACATGACATGTATCATATTACAAAGTTTGGTTGTTTGATATTCAGAGATCCCCAGAAAAACTAGTCTCTTCATCATCTTTCTCTGTTTTCCTCATCTTTATATTTCTCCATCTCTTTTCTCTCTTCCTTTCCCTATACCCTTCTCCCCCTCACCCCCATGGGGTTCTGCTTTGTTGTCCCAGCTGGTTTCAAACATATGGGCTCAAATTACCCTCCTGCCTTAGCCCAGAGTTCAACTGCGACTATAGGCGTGTGCTACCCTGCCCAGCACCTATGTGCCGCAGTCCAGCTGGGCAAAATAACCGAGAGGTGACAAGCAACTTGAAGGCTGAAGCGGGAACTACTTTATTGCGAGTGAACTCAGTTGGGAACTGAGCGAGAACTCAAAGTAGTGGGCACCCAAGGTAGCAGGAGCCACTTCTCTGCTGGACAGCAGAGGTATATATACCCAACTGATTACACACAGCTTACCTCAATTAACATCATCTGGATACAGCAGTCAGCCAATAAGGAATCCTCATCATCTTAATGGCTCACTGGCGTTGCTTCACAAACCACTCCTCCTGGCAAAGTGCCAGGTGCCATCTTGACTTGATTTGCATCCCCGACACCTATGTATTATTTTTTCCATGTGTAATTGTATGTTTCTGGTCTAACTCTACCACTAGAATTTGGGGTCTTTAAATGGCCTGCTATTGTGAGAATAATTAGAATATTATTCAATGTATAACAAGATATATAATGCTTTTTTTAACTGAAGTGATTTATATTCTACAAGTCTTTCAAATGGTACTTAAACTTCTCTTATTAAATTTTGTTTAATTTGTAAAATGGAAACAAAATGTTTCCAAAATGACATTTAAAATAAGCAGTGTTTCCCACTTAATTTAAATAATATTTATGATTGTATCTCTTTGTGTCCTTATATATGTATAAATTAAATAAAATATTCCATATTATGTGTCCAGTACAATAAACATAAAATGTTTGTAGGAATCTCCTTTCCCAGTGCCACTTTCTTAGGCCTCAATTCTTTCCTTCTTAATTATATTTTATATGAGACTCCTTAGCATAGCAAGGTCTTGTCCTTACTTCTCTTAGTTTCTTATCCAACAAAGAACTGAATTTGTCACAAATTTAAGTTAAATTGATGAAATACTGATACATGCAAGCAGACTTACTTGACATCAACTTACTTATAAATGTGAACTTATAAATTTCCTGACTTCTAATTTTTTTTTTTTGTCTTTGGTTCTTTCTTCTGAAAAAATGTGCTATGCTTATAGTCCTTTTATTTGAAGCCCAACATGTACATCCTGCTACCACAAGTGTCTCTTGCATGCATTTAATATTTCCCCAGCATATGTCTATATGCCTGGAAATAGTTCTTGGGAAAAGGCCCATATTTTCCTAATGTCCACTGTCCCCAGCATTTTACATATTAATATTGAAGTTATACCTAGGATTCACCATTATCCATGTATATACATATAAGATATGTATCCTTAGAGTGAATTCAAGAAAAAGTCAAGGACACATGACTAAGATAAATGCTTAGTGTTTCATGTAAGAAATTACTTTAAAATGTAAATAAGTAAGAACTAGATTGGTGAAATACACTGTGAAGACTTTCATGATGTACTATAGGGTGTTTTGACATACTGATTTTCAGTTGGGAATCACTGTATTAAATAAAAATCTTCCAAATAATTCACTTTCACCAATACAGAATGGCAAACATTTATACTCTGTAAATAAAACAGTAACCAACATATCTGAACTTCTAGATGCTTACTAGTCTAGCAGGTTTGAAGGGGAAGAAAGGACATTGACAATAAGATGACTATGAGAAAGAAATACAGATCCACTATATCCAGCTAACAATGAGAAGCAGATATTATACATTGTATTCAGCATGCTCATCTCAATTTTATTTTCCCCTTTGGGAAAACAGAAAGGAAAATAAAAGTTCATAAGCAGACAGAGTACAGTTTCTGAAAACCCTGTAAATCAATAAAAAAAGAAACTCTCTAGTTCACATTAATTCACTTTAGAAAAATACAAATTTTATATCACAAAGAGATTTATAAAAGTTTAAAGAAAATGCTGGTTGAAGTTAGATTAATCCAGCCCACCCCCATCCCCAACTTGATTGACACTTAATGAGTAAACTTAAGGATCTGATAACAAAATATTTCCCTATTTGATGGACTCACAACAATGGAAAAAGAAAGAAAATTCAATAGTTCTGAATGTCATATGTGATTTTTTTCTGAGATGCATAGATAACATAAAAGGAGAAATTGAGTCAAAAGAGGTTATATCTCTAGAGCAGAAAACACACACACACACACACACACACACAAGAAACAAAAGTAATATTCACTTGAAATTCAAGGAAAAATATTGCATTAAATTAAATTCTATAAACATTACTGCAAAATATGTGTTGTAATCATTCTTAATAGAAATGGGAGATAAATCTGAGACTACAGCTGCTTCCAGGAAGAGTGCCCCTGCACCCTAGTTTGCACAGAAAAGTCATCGTTATGCAAGTCTATGTGAAATTATACAATAGGTGTAGAATAGTTGACAAATAGAGGTTGAGCATGACAACTATATACATTTCTAAAACGGTTGTGGTTTATTTTGGGGAATGTTCATTAACTAGTTTTTTCAAGAAATTTGATGACAAATGTGTAAACTAGTAATATTGATATTAGTAGCCTTGTAAAACCAGAGACAAAAACAAACATAAATCCACAAGAGACACAAGAAATTTCAAAATTAAGAGTAATTTAGAATCATTTTTAGGCTTTCTGTTCTGCATCCTGAGCCCAGGTTTCTGTGCTATGGAGAAGCTGAAAACAAACCACAGGGAGACCGCTGAGAACCCTGAAAGCCAGGAGATGGAACTGTTAACATTCAGGGATGTAGCCATTGATTTTACTGAAGAGGAGTGGGAATGCCTTCAGCCTGCTCAGAAAAATTTATATAGAGATGTGATGTTAGAGAACTATAGAAACTTGGCCTTCCTGGCCATGACTTCTAATCACACCCAAGAATATTCACCAGAAAAGGGCCTAAAACATATATTTCATGAAGTGATAAGTGCAAAATATAGAAGTTGTGATCTTGACTATTTACAACAAAAGAAAATATGGAAAACTACAAGTGAGAGTGAACACCAGAAATCATATAAAAAATCAGGCCTTGTTCACCACCAGAGAATTTATACTGGAGAGAAGTCCTACAAATATGAAAAATGTTGCAAAGCTTTTAGTAAAATAAAAGGTCTTATTTACCACAGAGGAACCCACAATGGAGAGAAGCTCTACAAATGTAAAGAATGTGGCAAAGCTTTTGGTCAAAAATCACACCTTAATTGCCACATCAGAACTCACACTGGAGAGAAGCCCTACAAATGTACAGAATGTGGCAAAGCTTTTAGTCTAAAATCAATCCTAATTTGCCACAGCAGAACTCACTCTGGAGAGAAGCCCTACAAATGTAAAAAATCTGGCAAAGCTTTTGGTCGAAAATCAAACCTTGTTAACCACAGCAGAACTCACAGTGGAGAGAAGCCCTACAAATGTAAAGAATGTGGCAAAGCTTTCAGTCAAAAAGAAGGCCTTATTTACCACAGCAGAAGTCACACTGGGGAGATGTCCTACAAATGTAAAGATTGTGGCAAAGCTTTTCATCACAAATCACACCTTGTTAACCACAGCAGAACTCACACTGGAGAGAAGCCCTATAAATGTAAAGATTGTGGCAAAGCTTTTGGTCAAAAATCATACCTTATTTACCACAGCAGAATTCACACTGGAGAGAAGCCCTACAAATGTACAGAATGTGGCAAAGCTTTTGGTCACAAATCACATCTTATTTGCCACAGCAGAACCCACACTGGAGAGAAGCCCTACAAATGTACAGAATGTGGCAAAGCTTTTGGTCACAAATCACACCTTGTTAACCACAGCAGAACTCACAGTGGAGAGAAGCCCTACAAATGTACAGAATGTGGCAAAGCTTTTGGTCAAAAAATAGGCCTTATTTGCCACAACAGAACTCACTGGAGAGAAGCCCTGCAAATGTAAAGAATGTGGCAAAGCTTTTACTCAGAAAACAGGCTTTATTTGCCACAGCAGAACTCACACTAGAGAGAAGCCTTACAAATGCAAAGAATGTGGCAAAGCGTTCAGTCAAAAATCACACCTTATTTGCCACAACAGAACTCACACTGGAGAGAAGCCTTACAAATATAAGGAATGTGGCAAAGCTTTTAGCAATAAAACAGGCCTTATTCACCACAACAGAACTAACACTGAAGAATAACCCTACAAATGTAAATAATGTGGCAACACTTTTAATAAAAAATAAAACTTTATTCACCACAACAGAAGACATCCTGGTGAATGTGAAATGTGAATAAAGTGATAATAACTTTTAAAGAAAAACTAAACCTTGGGGCTGGGGTTGTGGTTTAGTGATAGAGTGCTAGCCTCGCATTTGTGAGATCCTGGTTCAATCCTCAGTACCACATAAAAATAAATAAGTGAAATAAAGGTATTTTGTCAAACTACAACTAAAAAATAAACATTAAAAAATGACTAAACCTTATTAACAACAGAATTTATACAGAAAAGAACCCCTACAAATTAAAACAATGCAGCAAATCTCTTAATATGAAATCAATTCTTATCGCCACTAGGCTATTTATTCTGGAAAGAAGACATGTAAATATGGAGAATGTAGAAACATTTTAAGTTATATATCATACATTACTAGACATCAGAGAAAACACTGGAGAGAAGCTCTACAAATGAAACCATTGTACCATTACTCTAAGAAAGGGACAACATTTAATCATCACCACAATAACCGTAGCATAGAGAAAGTTTTGAAATGTGAAAATTGACAATGTGACAATGCCTCCAAAATTTATTCACCGATACTCAGTACCTGTGGATACATACTGGTTAGAGAAAATACAAATGGGAAAAAAATTGTAGCCACATGTTTCTTAAGCACTGCTTATTTTTGGAGAATTCATTGTGCCCAGAAACCCTAAAAAGTTAAATAATATTTCCAAAACGTATTTAAATTTTAAATTCATTGAACATCTGAAAACTCATACTAGTAGTGAACATTGAACAGATTTTGTCCAAAATGTATGCCTTATATAACAATGAAACATTTATAATAAATGTGAGAGTAAAGTTGTTATCTATACATTACACCTTGATGTATATGAGGATCAGTAAAATACAGAACTCATTTAAGTTTAGAAAATAAGTAGTTGTCTTTAACTTTTGCTTAAATTTATTAAGCATTATCAAGTTATTTTATAGAAATATCAGTCATAAATACCATACATGAATAGTGAAGAAACCTCATCTTTGAAAGAATATATTTCTAAATCAATATTTACTATTTTCACTTTTGAATACTGAGAAAAGAATTATATGAAATCTATTTTTGATGTTTAACACTGAAGTGTAATATTTTAAACTTTATTTTTTTTAAATTTCAGTTTAAATTTAGGTATTTTTAAACACTGAGCCACATTCCTAAGCCCTCTCTCCACTTTTTCAAATTTTGAGACTGTCTTTCTAAGTTGCTTGAAACCACACTAAGTTGCTGAGACTGAATTTAAACTTCTGAAACTACTCAGCTTCCCAATGTGCTTGGATTACAAGCATGGACCATCATGCCAGGTTTACAGTGCATTTTTTTAACCTATATTTACCTTATGTAGGCAATATGTCTTTATAACTGAATATTTATTTATATGTTAACACTCATGTATTGCATCCTGTTGTTAAATGACAGACATCACAGTGTCCCACTTGACTAAATGTTCTATGTAACAGTAAAACATACTATTGAGTAAAAAAAAAGAGTAATTTAAAGGAGAATGTGCTAGAAGCAAATGTTTAACACACACAGTCTCAGGAATCTCATTGGCATATTGCACTGCAGAATCTGACTTCACATGTAATCTGAAGGTTACTCTACTGAATGCATTTTAATACTTTTGTATCCTATGATTTTGTGCTTTAACAGCAACAACAGTAACAAAAATGAAACCAAAAGTGTTGGCTCTATTATCAGAAGAACTTTGCAAAGACTTGTGAGGCCAGTACCATCTACTTCAGATAAAATTTTCAAACAAAATTTTCTTGAGTTTTTGACTACCCATGAGTGTGCTTATCTTACTTTTTCTTAAAGCAAAGATAAAGCCAACTCTAGGTTTACTGAAAGCATTTCTGCCACTGCTGTTGTGGAAGTTAATCTAATAACTACAAAGCTAAACCCATTTTATAATCGACCCATTCCTCTCCATGAATGCAAGAACAAACTTTGGACCATTTGCAATATAGAAGTCATTTATAATATAGACCTTAAAAATTTCTATGCAGAATGTTACATTTTTATTTTTGAGAATAACTTATAATTAACTTACATTATTACCTATCTTTATCAGTCCATTCACTGTCCAATATAGTAGTACTAGCTACATGTGACTTGAACATTTAAAATATGTGAAATCCAAAATACAATGTAACAGTAAAATTCAGATTTCTAAGGCTAAACATAAAAACAAATAATATCAAACATCTCATTGGTAAGTGTTTACAATGATAACATGCTACATTGTGTGTATAATGTATAATTAGAATTAAGTTAACCATCTTAATTTACTTTTTAATGTTACTACCAGGAACTTTAAAGTTATTTATATGACATGACATGCATTATATTTCTACTGAACAGTGATGACCTGGAATATGAAGTCTTACAAAGTAATGTCTAATGTCTCAATCATCTTTATATTTCACATATGTAGCAGAGCAAACATTTAATTAATGCAAAACCAATATATGAGATTGACTTACATAAAAATAACATTTTAATTTGCTACAATGAATCAAATTTAATTTTTATGATTTTGCTGAAACAAGAATACTAAAAATAGAATATAAATTCTTAAAAAATAATCTAGAGATTTCTGAGAATAACAATTGTTAAACAAGAGAACATGCACAGAAGGAAAAAGAGCAATACAATACATACTTAAGTTCATATATGTATATTATGCATAATATATACTTGCAATAAGAAAAATTAAGTCCCATTCAAAACAAAAACTGATAATAAAACAAATTTTACCCACGATTTTCCAAACATCCTAACATAACTTATGTTTTATAATATAAAGCTTTCTATTTTTTTTCTGATGAACTAGTTGATAATATAAATCATCTGCATTTCAAATTATGGCTACAGTGAAGCTCCCAAGTTTCCTAGCCTGTGGGGTTTCTGAAGTTTGTATCAACTTACTTGAAGCTGACTTCAGATCAAGAAATAAAGGAAATAAGACTCCCCATTGTCTTCCTCCCACCTTCCTTGACTGCAGCTCTGGTATTCCATTCCTGGGAATGGATCCCAGAGGCCCCAAGGTAAGGACTATCTGTGGGCAACACAATAAATTGAACCATGTTGGATAAAGTCAGCATGCCATTAGCTTGCTTATTGCCTGCAGAAATTGCAAGTTTTACTGATTTACATTTTAATTTGGACTCTCTTGGTCCCAAAGCACACACACAGTTCCTGTCAAGAATTCCAACTCTGCAAAGAAGTATTGCTAAAAGCTGCAGATCACAAGAGACAAGAATGTTTAAAAACTGTGGTTCTGCTGATTATTATTTATGTATTCCTTGAGGGAGACTTGATAGAGCTAACATAATTCACAAATGGGGGCTTTTATTTCGTGTCTGTGCTGAAGAATTTTGAGAAAAAAAAACTAGATACTTTCCTATATGTGATCTCCATAATGTTCAGGACAATCTTATGATGACTATGTTGTTATGGCTATTTTAAAGATAATAATACTGACTGATCTTCATGTCTTGATTCTCCTCCTGTTTAATCTAAAAGTCATCCTTCCTCTCACAGCCGCATTCCTTTCAATAATGGTGTCATTTTTTCCCCCTCAGGATAAGATGAACACACAAAAGTGAAGGAATATATTAAACAGCATAGATACCTTTTTTCCCTAAAGTCCTGGGCTTACTTCATCTCATCTTTCAACTAGATGGACTTGCAATGGCTTCCAGGAGCTCTCAGAGAATGCTAGCTGAACCCAATATTTTGACCTAATAAATTCTATAATGAGGAATTGAAGACAATGCCACTTACTCCAAATTTTGTTTGTAAAACTATCATGCATCATATATGAGGCTTATTTGGTTTAAGTATACCTAACTAACTCCTTTTATTTAGTGATAGACAAGTTTAAACTGATTTTAAGTAGCTTTGGTCTTGCTTTCAGTAATTTATTACCAAGCCATGAAGCAGATCAAATTAAGCAAATGTAACAAATTTTCCTAAAAACACAATCTATTTATAAACTATTATGCATCAAATAAGTGAAACATTTGTTGAAACAAGTAGCTGAGTAAACAAATGATACTGAAAAACACAAAGCTCCTCATTGGTTCATAGCTTGTGATAATATCAGCCCAAACCACTGAACACTGCAGCTGTCATATGTTCATTTAAAACTGTCCACAGGTATCAAAATGCCATTTTGAATGACCCTCAAGTTTTATTGAAATAGACATATATATTTCTAATACCAATTAAATATATTCCTTTCTCTTTCTTTTGATGTTTGTTATTAATCTTTTGTTCTTAGCTTACTGTAATTTTAAGCAAGTTACCCACTATCTATGAGTATTAATTTTATTTTCTAAAACAGTGATAGCAATGACATAAGTTGATCAACTGAACACTAGATATATAGAAGCACAGTACTTTGTGAGTAATTATTAATTCTACTTCTCCCCAAAAAAACAATTGTCATGCTTCTTCCTCCCTACATCTCACAATTACTAACATACTCTTTTTTAATTTATACATAGAAGCATGTGCCTCTGTTCAGAAGTTCAGAAGTTTAGGTCCTCGTCGCAACATGAAATATTTTTATATTTTAATAAACATTTTAACTCAGGCATTTCACAAAATCTCAAGTTTATTTCTTTTTAAATTTATTTATATTCAATAATGATTAATATTTGCCCAGCATACAGCATCATACTCATCTCCAAATTATATTAAACAAAAATATTCAACTCTTTATCCAGAGAGTTTTAGTTTCTACATGAATTCATGATTAAAGTTTTTAAAATATTTGACCAACAAGATTACAGATATGAAAGAATAGACTCATGGTATTTAAAAATATGGTTATGTTACTAGAAAGAAAATCTGTATCCAGATCCAGTGTAAACCATTTAACAGATGTATTGTATTAATGAAATGTTTTCCATGTTTAAGTCTTAGTCATAGTTACTACAAATGGAACTAGTTATATTAATCACAAAAAATCTGTAATTT